GAGATTAGAGGTGGAAGAGCAGAGAGGTCAGCATAGGGGAGCTCAGAAAGAAGAGGATACGAAGGAGACAAAGGAGGAGAGAGAGGAGGAGAAGCAGTGATGACTTCTGAGGTCTTTTCTAATCTAGTCACCATTTCTGATAATTTCTGATCTGTCTCTCACAATGAAGCCATTTTATCATTCTCTCGTTTTGAGGCTTCCAGGTACCAATTAAAATGTCTCCATTCTAGCTGTTTGATCTTAAGCCGGCTTTTTCTAATTTAGTGTGCAAATAAAATTTACCAACTTAGGTAAATCGAAAGTGCCCCATTTTGGCCATCTCAGGGACAAATGATTTTTGGTCAGACCTTCCCATTAAGTTAAACGCTTGCAAGTGTCAGTTTCATGGGTGTTATACATAAACCCAGCTGGGGTTCCCATAGGTGGCTATTCATCCGGGAGCTGTTTGGCCCGTGAGGCATGATTTCCCATTATTAGTTTGGTAGTCTGGTTCAGGTATGAGATATGATCTGAACAATTTTCTGAGGACAGTGTGGTGGACTGGATGTGCACTGCTTCTGAGTCTAGCAGTCGGTTTGACTCTGATGTGTCTCTGTTTCTCCCTGTGACAGTCTAAGACTGTCATGGGTGCGGGGAGTGCTAAGTTATCAGCTTCTGTTGCACCCCACAGATAAGTAGCATTTACTTAATGGTCGTAGTGGGGTTCCCTTGTAGGACCACTGCGCATAGTAAGGATTGATCCTCAGACACTTCTGCAAGGTCCTCAGCCACCTGAGGATGCCTTGTGGCCAGGAGCAAAATGTCCCTTTATTCTTCAGAGCTGAATAACTCAGTCTCTCATTTCACTAACAAAAAAGTTTTGTTAAGACCTGATATCAATTTACCCCTTTTTTTCCCTTGATTTAAGCCGAACTTAACAAAACCCAGCTACCTATGTTTCCCTGGACTTCCTGTCCAGATCCCCCTAGGTCCCTGCCTAGGAAATTCCTACGTGCCCCTTAAGACAAGTAAAAACCAGCCCAAATAAAATTTTCAGGATCATCACCAAAACAACAAGATCTGGGTATTAGGAGAACTCACCAGAACACCAGAGAGATGCTGAGAAGCTGGTGAGGCTCAAAGTACCCATGCTGGTACTGAGTGCCGGTTTGAGGCATCTTCCAGGTGTCCTCTGGTGGCTGTCTCTGGTATCCTGCTGACTACACCAAGCATATTTCGATGAAAACTTAATCAATAGCCAATCTATGAGAGAAATGGAAAATTTTATTTGAGCCAAATCTGAGTACTGTAACCCTCAAATTTGTGTTCCAAGAACTGTTCTGCCTGTTAGAAGTCAAAACACAGTTACATAAGTTTTTTGAGACAGAGCCGTACATTAGATGACGTATCACTGACAGTTTACACAATCCAGATCGGCAAGTGCAAACTGATGGGTCGTTGTGACCCCTTTACAAGATCAAGAAGAAATGTTGTCTTTTAAGGCGTTGCCTTGTTCCTGCTAGGAGGATGTTGCTGTTTATGGTTGAGCAGGTATTTCTGCCAGCGGGGAAGGTTTTGTTGAGGCAAAATGCAGATACACAATGCACAGTAGAGGGGAGACAGGAGGCTAAAGGGCAGAGGAAATTTTTTTATATTTAAATTTTTCTTGTCTTGCCATAAAATGTGAATTTCATTTCACACACCTTATCAAAAATTGTTTTGGGAAGAGTCATGAGACAGGAAGCCAGATTATCCACAGGTGAAAGAAGAAATCACAATGGAAATTAGAACATATTTTGAACAGAAAGACAAATAATCAGAATAGGACATAGCAAAATTTGGGATGCTGGTACCTGGCCCTTAGAGGGACAATTTATAGTTGTAAATGCATATACTGGAAAAGATAAAAATTGAAATGGAATTACCTCATCTTCTATTTTAAGAACCTAGAAAAAGAATAGTAAATTAATGGGAATTCCCTGTGGTTAGGACTTTGCATTTCCACTGCTGGGGGCCCAGGTTTGATCCCTGGTCGGGGAACTGAGATCCTGCAAGCCACGTTGCATGGCCAAAAACAAAGTAACAAACTTGTTGTGATAATCATTTTATGATGTGTGTAAGTCAAATCATTATGCTGTAAACCTTAAACTTATACACTGCTATGTCAGTTGTATCTCAATAAAACTGAAAGAAAAAAAGGTGCTATGGTAGTGCCCCATGACCTCCTGCCTGCCCAAGGAGTGGCTCAGGAACTAAGATCCTGCAAGCCGTCCATCCTTCACACAGTGCTAGATTCATTTTTTCTAAATCATTCATTATGGTGATTATCTGCTCAAAATGTATCAGTGATTCCTTATTGCCTAGATTCATGGTTCCCAGACTGTGAAAGGCATCCCTAGGCAGCAAGCTCACTGGGATGCCACGGGATAAACTTCTGGGGGAATCACAGTGATACATGACATGTTAGACAACATGTGAAGTACTAGCTCAAAGTAGGTCAGTTTCAACATTAGGTCATGCTGTGTTCCTCTCAGTGTCAAACAGGATAGGAAGGTGGTAGTGTCCAATTTGATTCCAAGGCTTGAGAAATTAAACTGCGCCCCACATCCCATTAGTAAATAATTGTAGTTATTTAAAAATAAAAATATTTTCTTTAGATTTATTTGTATTATTTTTTCAAATACCTACTAAAAATAGAACTTTTAGGTATTTAGAACTTTTAGGTATTACTTTTGGTGTGTCATAAAATATTGAGACACCAGGAGCATCATGAACTGAGACAGTTTGTAAACTTCTGGCCTGGATGATAAAAATCCACACCTCCTAGCTTGCATTTAAGTTTCTTCAAAACATCTAGTAGCACCATGTACTTTCCACTCCCATTATTCCCTGGCTCAAATCTTTCTCCAGTACTTGCCTGTTGTTTGACCTTGGGCAAATCAACTTCATTTCATTAACTAATTTCATTAATTAACTATATGGATTAATTTCGTATAATTTCTCTGAGCCTTTTTCTTTAGCTATAAAAAGGGTTAACAGTGCTTACCTTGTGTGACTGTAATGAGGATTACATGAGAATGAACATAAGGAGGAACACACATAAACATCACATATGGCATATTGCAAGTGCTCGGTTAAGTGTCAGATATAATCCCCTCTCATCTTTTTTTTTTTTTTAATATCTTGGCCGTGCCACATGGCCTGCGGGATCTTAGTTCCCCGACCAGGGATCGAACCCATGTCCCCTGCAGTGGAAGCACAGAGTCCTAACCACTGGACCACCAGGGAATTCCTCCCCTCTCATCTTGAACTTTCTGAAGAAGCCCAGTGTTCTTACTGAGTTCCTCAAGACTCATCTGAATATCCCCTCAACTTTTTTTTTTTTTTCTTCAGTCTCTCATAATTTTATTTTCTCCTCGGAAGTTCCAACGATCCCCTCCTTGGGTTTGACTGATTTGCTAGAATGGCTCACGGACTCAGAGAAGTATTTTATTTGCTAGATCTGGTTTATTAGAAAAGGATATAACTCAGGAACAGCCAGATGGAAGAGATGCATGGGGAAAGGGCGTGAAGCTTCCATGCCCTCTCTGAGTGCGCTACTGTCCCCAAATTCCATGTGTTCACCAACCTGGAAAGTTCTCAATCCTCTAGCTAGCTTCCCTAAATATTACTCTTCCTTCAACCCCAGTTTACCGCTTCCATCAAGCCTCCCCCAACCGAACTAGCTCAGAGTTAACTACTATAGCACACAACTATATCACACAACCCACTGTTTAGTAAACTATTGCCTTTGTTATTCAACTTGTATATTACCTGTGCAATGTTTCACCCCATGTACTGTAAGCATTTCTGAGGTTAAGAATGTCATGCTACATTAAAGTTTCCTATAGCGTCTAACAAAGTGGAGGGTGCAGATCACATTGGTTCATGTAATGCAGGAATTTATTGAGGCTGTAGATCAGAATAAGCACCACAACACCTCCACACGTACAAAAGGCAGATGGAGCAGCAGAGGTCAGAGGGAAGACAAGAAAATGCAAGACTGCACAAATGCTGGGTGGTGGTGCAAAGCAGCGCCGTGAGGTGAAGGGCCCTTGTGAGGCCAGACCTTGAGCAAACAGGATCTCAACACTGGGCAAGATGAGTAATGGAGGAGTTGGGATAGTTCCATTCTTAGGAGTTAACTAGGGAGGCACGACAAGGAGGAAAGGATCGCACAGCTGAGTTTCCCACCCTTTCCTTCCAAGAAGGAAGTAGAACTTTTGGGGGGACCAGAAATGCCAATTACAAATTCACTTGGGTAAAAATCTTTTAAACAATAAACATCCTGAAAATGGGTAGAAGAAAATATTCAGCCCTTGTCACCAGTGAGAATTATTTAACTGGGTTTCCCTATCAAAATATTTGGGACATAACCAACTGTGTGAATGTTGTATGTGTATGAAGGAAAAGAATTTTAGCCCTATAAGTTAGGGTGGGACGTTACTTGACTTGATTGGGTGGCTCTGGGCAGCCCCAATAATGCTGAAGAGTAGGGGGAATTGCTGAAGAAATTGGGAGAGGTGCAGAAAAAAATGGGAGATGGCCAAAGCCAAAGTGTGCCTAGTTTGACTATGAAATATGGCGGTGCCTTTGGTGGACTGGCGGTTGCAGGGGTGGGGTGTGGCTGCTGTGGACTTCAGTTGACTAAGGATCCAGGGGGCCAGGTCCAGGATTGGCCGTGCAAAGCAAGAGCAGAGATACACGCATACTTAGGAATGCAGGCCGCTAGTGACACAAACCTGGTGGACGGAGTGTGGCACCCACTGCTACAAACAGGGAACACCACAGAAGACTAGCTAATGTTCCTGGAAGATGGGGTTGGGGGGTGTGTGGGGGGCACTAGCTACAGAGCACTTAATGAGTGGAAGAAAAATATTCTGGGTGAAACTGGAGGCTTGAACTTGTTACCTAGATTAGTTCAATAGTATTCAGTGGACGTATTTAGGTTAAAAGGCTATTTTCATTTGCCAGTGTTGCAGTCTGAATAGTTACAGAAATATTTATTGTAAAAGTAACACTTTATAAAAACAAAAACAGAACTGATTTAGATTAAAAGCTCCAAGGTGTATTGTTTCATAGGTGTTATTGCTATCTATACCTTCACCCCATTTATTAAACCATTTCAGGTAACTTCCAGTTTGTAAATTTACAGTGAGGTTATAGAGCCCAACCAGGATGGGACAGAATGGGTTCCAAGTTACGAGGGGACCGCAGGGCTCCTCAGTGATGTCTCCCGTGAAGCACCTGTGCACCACTGTTTCTTCCCACACGTCTGAATGTGACCTTTTGGCTTCTCTGGCTGTGGCTGGTTTAGTCTCCTGATACTAATTCTGTGCCGCTCTGTTGCCTAGGAGGTTGATCCAAGCTTTCAGGCCCCCTCTCTTGTAGGCCTCAATTACGTATTGTGAGGTTCAGGAGAGCTGGCCAATCTGAAGGCTGGGAATGCTTGCTTAAAGGAGGAATTGCCATTCCAGCATGAACTGCAGAAACTGTTTTCATTCTGGGGGTGGTGAGTCCTAGAAGATCATGGCCAAGAAGCAGATGTCTTAAGTGGCTTCCTCTGAGAGTTTATCCCCAAGAGGGAGCCATGTGGCCACCTGCTTTTTATCACATTTCTAATAGCTGCTCCATTTCCTCAAGGGCTGTTGTAAAATCATTTACTTGACTGTTACATAAGGTCTGTTGTTCTAGGAACTGGGCCCTCTCTTCTTCTTTTATCTTCAACTTTACCTTTAAGGCCTGCATGGAAAGACATTAAAAAAGACAAAAAACAAAAAACCACCAAACTCTGACTCATAGGAAAGACAATACCATAACCAGAACATTATGCTTCTGTTTGAGATACTGACAGACATTGTCTTTTCTATCTTAGGTTTATCTGTGTTGGTTTTAGGAATTGTCTCTCTCTACTACAGAGTCTGTTATGTCAACTGGAGCAATGAAATACTCTAGGATTCCGTGTAGTATCCCATGGTTCATCCAAGCAATCCAAAGTGGTCCAGACCCAAGAATCGGGGTTTCCTATTACAGGTTTCCCTGAGATATCAAGTTTCTACAGCATGGATTTCACACAGGTGTCAACTGTCAACCTGGAGCCACCTAGCGTGTTGCACACTGCCTCATGCCCTGCAGATGTGAACATTTCTAAGAGTCTTTAGAACAGAAAATTAGTTGAAAAAAATGGTGAAATCAAATAAAGTCTTGGAATTTAGTTAATAGTAAGGCATCAATATTGGTTTCTTAGTCTTGACAAATACAGCATGATAATGTAAGATGTTAATATTAGGGGAGTTGAATTCTCCATTATCTTTACAACTTTTCTGCAATCTAAAATTATTACAAAATAGTTTATTAAAAATGAATAAAGAGGGTTCCCTGGTGGCGCAGTGGTTGGGAGTCCGCCTGCCGATGCAGGGGACACGGGTTCGTGCCCCGGTCTGGCAAGATCCCACATGCTGTGGAGCGGCTGGGCCCGTGAGCCATGGCCACTGAGCCTGCACGTCCGGAGCCTGTGCTCCGCAACGGGAGAGGCCACAACGGTGATAGGCCCGCATACCACAAAAAAAAAAATGAATAAAGAGATAAATAAGAAAGAGCCCTCCACAGATCCACCTATTGTGGTAGGAAATGGTAATTTTGCCTTGCGGAGATGTCTGCCTCTCACCTGTAACTCCTCCATCTGCTTTTTGGCTGTTTCGTTAAAAAGCTTCAGCTCATCTTGCAAAGTTTCTAACAGCAGCTAAGAGAAAAGTACAAGGTAGTAACAAATCTTTATTGAAATGTGAGAACTTTCTTCATATAAACTAATCTCTTCATGGGAGTTGAATCAGATGATCGCTAATATCCCATCTGTTCAGTCACTGACTGAGTGTCCGCAAACGTGCCGGGTTCTCTCGTGGGCCTGGAAGAACTGAGTCCACAGCATGGACAGAGAACCCCACCTCCACGTGCTCTGTGCTACACAGGTAATATGAACGAAAGGCAGTAGCCACTAAAGGGGTGATAAATCGCCTGGGGGAGCTGAGGAAGGCTTCCATACCCAGTATTCTAGGATTCTAAGATGACAACTGATCTTCCTGGGGAATAGATCACAGAAGCTCAAAAGGCTTTAAGTGCAAACGATTGCCCTTTACTTCAGGGAGGGAAGCAAAGAGAAGGCAGATTTAATTCAGGCTGGACCTTTGTAAGACACAGTTCTCAGCAAAGGAATAAGGGGAGAAATTTGGTAAAGCAAAGAACAGAGAAACCAGAAAGCTGTCTCTACCGGTCCACCCTACTACGGGTTTTAAACTGGTACATTCTCAACTTAGACTCCCTCATGTTTGTAAGCACAAAGTCACCTTCCGAGTAAAATATGCTACTTTGAGTACACATCCACCACCCTCTTCCACTACCCTGGATAACCGAAGGCTGCTTTGTGGGCTTTGCCGAGCATACGGCAGAGACCTGCTTAGATCTGCAGGGCCTCACGCTCACGGGGCCTTCGCCCACTCACACCCACACCCTCACCATCGAGTCCATGTGATCCGTGGTGGAGTCCTGCCGTGCCGCCAGGGTCTCACTGCCTAAAACCAGTAAATACAACAAAGTCAGCCTTGCCTAGGGAACTGCAACTTAAAAGAAAATTAAAATTCCCTTAGAGGGAAACTTCTCTAAGCATCTGAAAACTCTCTCCCCTGAGTTTTCACCTTGGCAAGGTCACCCACGCCTGCCCTCCAGAGCTGGATTTTATCTCCCCTTCCTCTCTAGGTATGGATATGGCCAAAACTTCATCCTGCTTTCTCCTCAGCTCAGCGGAAAATTTGTCCAAAAGAAATGTATAGGTTGTATTTTTTGGGTTCGTTAACAATACACAAAACTATTTTTAAAAGCTTTTCAGGCCTTAAAAATTTTTATTATTTTCGGTAAAAACAGTGCATACACGTAGGAAATTAAAATCATCCAAAAACATATATGGTGACTATCAAGAATATATCCTAAAATGCACAGGTTAATGGCAGCATTCAAAGTCAGCACTCCTTAATTCAAACAAGCCTGGGCTCCTTCCCTGGGCATTCTCAGGCTCCTCAGTTCAGGCTCTCTTACAGTCCTGGGGTAACCCCTTCTTCCGCTTCCTCTCTGTGACAGACTCTGCCCTCTAGGGAAGGCTCAGAACAGGAATCACATTTTAAACACCGCGATTCTGCTAACTAGCCAGCTTTAGGAACCCTTTCAACAGTATTATCTCTCTCTCCACCTGTGAAGGTTACCTGTATGCTATATCCCTTGAAAGAAAGAAAATATTTCTGATGTATTTGCAAGATCATACCTGTCAGCACCAAACTAATGGTATAAAGTGTTCAGATAAGAAAGAGAGAATCCTCTCTGCACAACCATCTAAAACTCCTCTGGGCAGGCAAAGTCAACATCACAACAGAACAGAGTGGAGCTCCCCCAAATCTTCAGGGCTTTGCTAGGCAACCCCTGCATTGACTGGGTCAGCTGACACCATGCCAGACCCCGATGCACAGTCCAGAATCACCCAGGAAGGGGCACATGCACTGACTCCTTTGAAGGCAGTTGTGTGCCATCTCTTACCTGGGTTGAGGCCCTTGCTCTCCAAAATTGCCAGACAGCTGTCCTGAAACTTCTCCAGCAGCTCCACTTTTTGGGTCAAGTCCTTCAGCTCTCCCTGTAGGGGTGCCACACAGACAGGTAAGGCCTGCCCCATTCCTCAGGGGCAGCCACAGCGCAAGCCTGGCATCTTCTCCTGCGCTCAGGCACCTGGCGTGGCCCCTCAGGATTCCACATGCATCACCCAGTGCAGCTGATGGCAGGTCTGGTGGATCACTTACCTGAGTTTCAATCAACTTCTGGTGCAACTGCTTGTTGACGGCCTCTAAGAGCTGGTTCTTATCCTTGAGCTCTTCCTCTGATTTCTCTTTACTCAGTGGCTTATAGCTGTAATGATAATCGTACTTAGATGAAGTGGTGGAGGGGTTACGAGTATGGGCTATGGAGTCGGGTTGGTTTGAATCCTGGCATCACCACATAGTGGTATATGACCTTCAGGGAGTTGTGTAACCTCTCTGAGACTGTTTCCTCATTTCTAGAATTAATACACACATCTCATAATATTATTATCATGAAGGATAAGAAAGAATACATGTACAATTCTTAGCACAGCTACTGACACAAAACTTTTAATAAGTAATAGCCATAGCCCAAGCAGTCTTTAGGGAAAAAAATGGAGCTGGAGGAATCAGACTCCCTGACTTCAGACTATACTACAAAGCTACAGTAATCAAGACAGTATGGTACTGGCACAAAAACAGAAATATAGATCAATGGAACAGGATAGAAAGCCCAGAGATAAACCCATGCACCTATGGTCAACTCATCTATGACAAAGGAGGCAAGGATATACAATGGAGAAAAGACAGTCTCTTCAGTAAGTGGTGCTGGGAAAACTGGACAGCTACATGTAAAAGAATGAAATTAGAACACTCCCTAACACCATACACAAAAATAGACTCAAAATGTATTAGAGACCTAAATGTAAGACCAGGCACTATGAAACTCTTAGAGGAAAACATAGGAAGAACACTCTTTGACATAAATCACAGCAAGATCTTTTTTGATCCACCTCCTAGAGTAATGGAAATAAAAACAAAAATAAACAAATGGGACCTAATGAAACTTAAAAGCTTTTGCAAAGCAAAGGAAACTACAAACAAGATGAAAAGGCAATCTCAGAATGGGAGAAAATATGTGCAAACAAATCAATGGACAAAGGATTAATCTCCAAAATATATAAACAGCTCATGCAGCTCAATATCAAAAAAACAAACAACCCAATCAAAAAATGGGCAGAAGACCTAAATAGACATGTCTCCAAAGAAGACATACAGATGGCCAAGAAGCACATGAAAAGCTGTGCAACATCACTAATTATTAGAAAAATGCAAATCAAAACTACAATGAGGTATCACCTCACACCAGTCAGAATGGGCATCATCAGAAAATCTACAAACAACAAATGCTGGAGAGGGTGTGGAGAAAAGGGGACCCTCTTGCACTGTTGGTGGGAATGTAAATTGATACAGCTGCTATGGAGAACAGTATGGAGGTTCCTTACAAAACTAAAAATAGAATTACCATATGACCCAGCAATCCCACTACTGGGCATATACCCAGAGAAAACCGTAATTCAAAAAGACACATGCACCCCAATGTTCACTGCAGCACCATTTACAATAGCAAGGACATGGAAGTGACCTAAATGCCCATCAACAGACGAATGGATAAAGAAGATGTGGTACATATATACAATGGAATATTACTCAGCCATAAAAAGGAACGAACTTGGGTCATTTGTAGAGACATGGGTGGATCTAGAGAATGTCATAGAGAGTGAATTAAGTCAGAAAGAGAGAAACAAATATCGTATATTAACACATATATGTGGAACCTAGAAAAATGGTACTGGTTTGCAGGGCAGAAATAGAGACACAGATGTAGAGAACAAGCGTATGGACACCAAGGGGGAAAAGTGGTGGTGGTGGTGGTGGTGTGATGAATTGGGAGATTGGGTTTGACATATATACACTAATTTATATAAAATAGATAACTAATAAGAATCTGCTGTATAAAAAAATAAAATGCAAAAAATAAAAAAAAAGTAATAGCCATTATCATCATCAATATTAAGCCTTTTCAAAGTTCTGAGTCCTTGATAGTATTTTGTCTTCAGAACTTTTAAGTCATGCCCAAATAACAGATGTGGAATTAAAACCTATGTCTACAAACTTTTCAACTTATGTTATTTCTGTCTGCAGGACTGCAAAATGTCCAAGCAAGTCTCAAGCAGAGAAAGATGGATCCTTCTCCAGAATCTCAGCAGCAGCAGCAGCAGCAGAACACTCATCTCGAACTCACTAACCACACGCAGGCTCTCCCATCCTGAGGGCTTCCCGCTCCTGCCAATGGGCCATAGCTAGGTTGGGGCAGTGGTCCTGGCATGGAGCCCCCAAACTCTTGTCTGGTACTCAAGATGGTAGCATCACTGATTCTTGCCCTGACAGTGGTTCTCAAAATCGGCTGTGCCTCAGCCCTGAAAATACCATCTAGATTTCTGGGGTGGCATCAGACTCCAACACAGTAAAACAAGTCCTGTGAGTGATTCTGATGTGCAACCAGGATTGAGCTCCACTACCTTAAAACGGTGGCCAGGTTTCATCTACCCTGACGCTCACCTCTTCCTGATGTTCCTCCTGGTGGCAGTGTCTGTAGCTCTCAGCTGCCTAGAGAAGCAGAAACAAATCAGGATGTTAACTATTCTTACTGCGGTGATCATTTTGCAATATATATAAATATCAAATCATTATGTTGTACACCTGAAACTAACACAATGTTGTATGTCAACTATACCTCAATTAAAACAATAACAACAACAAAGAAATCAATCAGAGAATCACGGTACTGTTATTCCTTTTTTTTTTTTTTTTGTATTTTTGTCCAGGCCATGTGCAGCATGCGGGAGTTTAGTTCCCTGACCAGGGATCGAACCCGCGCCCCCTGCAGTGGAAGCACAGAGTCTTAACCACTGGACTGCCAGGCAAGTCCCAGACAGCCCAAGCTTGAGAAGCTCTGAGGGCCCATGCACTTTTGTTTCAGCCCAGACTACTGAAAAAAGCATATGAATAGGGCACGGGCTCCCCTCCTGACCACCTCAACAACCTGACAGACCTGCTTCGGCTCAAGACAGTGTGGCTACTTCATGTCAGCCTCACTCACACGGGAGCTGAACACCAGGTGGAGGGACACACATGCATACTACACTGGGTTGGACTGCTCAGAGCAGCAACCTAGGCTAACAACTAGGCCCCACCCGCCACGACTACCACTTAAGGCTGGTTTGACTGCACTGCTATTTGTACACTCAGAGCAAATGCTGAGAGAGGAAAGAATAGCTCTTATTGTAACCCTGGCTGTGCCTCTTCTGACCTGATCAACACAGAGGGTTCTGACAAACAGGTCAGCAACGCTGCACTGCTATAGGCCACTGACTACAGGCCAATCCTTCAGATACCCTGTGCTCTCAAAAGCCCTAATTCTTGGTACTGAGCAATTTCTAGCCCAATGTTCTAATTGGATACCGATGCTCTGACTCTCACCCATTGTCTCGTCTTGGTTTGATGATTTTTGTAACATCATTTTCTGAATCTCCTAAGTGAGGTCGGGAAACATCGACTTCTTTGGACCTAACAGGTAATAGGCTCTTAGAAGTGGCTCGAGTTTGTGCATCTGCAAAGGAAAACAAGAGGGTGGAATCCCACGCATCATGACCCAACAGTGCAACTCTATAAATTCGGAAGAATAAGACTTCTAGACCAATTGGGAATAGAAACCAAAATTCTTTAAATGTGACAGTACAGTGTGTTTGAGGGTAGCCAAAAGCTTGCTGATACAGCAAACTGAATGGCCAGAGGGTATAGATGTGAAAGTGGAGATTCATACAGCAAAGAGGATGAGAGGCAGTGTGGCCGTCAGCAAGGCAGAACACAGCTGAGTCCTTCGTCACACAGCAGTTGAAAGGAACTATGTCGTTCAGCTCCTAAGCACTCTGCCTGCTCTCCTAAGGCTACACTCAAGCTGCTTCGAGTTTCAGCAGTTGCTTAGTTGTTTAGTTGTTTTGACCAGACTGGCTCCCTAACTAGTACTCTAAGAGACATCTTTGTGCCCCAGCATCTAGGAGAGTATCTGGCATATTAACAGAGGTTCAAAACCTACTTATTGAATAAATAGAACACGTCACAGTTTCATGGGTTATTTCACAGACCATCTCTAAACTAGCTCCTCTATTCTTCTTTCCCTCTTCCATGCTGACTGCCTTTACCACCAGCCCTTTTTTTTTTTTTTTTTTTGCGGTACGCGGGCCCCTCACTGTTGCGGCCTCTCCCGTTGCAGAGCACAGGCTCCGGACGCCCAGGCTCAGTGGCCATGGCTTACGGGCCTAGCCACTCCGCAGCATGTGGGATCTTCCCGGACCGGGGCACAAACCCGTGTCCCCTGCATCGGCAGGCGGACTCTCAACCACTGCGCCACCAGGGAAGCCGCTACCACCAGCCCTTTTAAACTGTTTATCCACTGTTAAGTTTAGAGGCTCGTTAGGTTCCCTGTTTGGTATTCTGTTCTGATCCTGCTAGGCTACTGCCAGATAACCAGAGAAATGGCCCTGACATGACATTCTTCTTCGCCAGAGGTCCCCCTAGCCCTTATGCCAGCCCTCTACCACACACATCTTTCTACCACTTACATTTGATAGCAAATTCAAGTAACTTGTTCTGGAGTTAAGCACGCACCCCCAGCACATGCACAGGATTCTTCTAGTTTATACTAACTTTCACTTCGTTCATTGTAAAACGGCTCCTTTAAGCTTGACCTAAATTAAGAGCCATAACAATTAAATCAAGCTGAAGAAATGAGGTACAAAGCACTGGATCACAGGGATTAGGAAACTTTGTGTTTGATAAAGATTTATTTTGATGACTCTAGCTGCACAACAGTTTGGAATAAATATGATTTCTCAGGCTAACAAATTACTTCATTTATAGGTACACTCAATCGGCACTTACATCCTATTTTCCCCTTACCCACAAAACAAGTATTAAAAAGGTTCTTTCTGAGGTCTCTGTTGGAAGTAAAAGGTAACTTTGAGTGCATGAATTTACCTTCTCCTCTCTCAAGTATTAATAAGTTAACATACAATAAGAAATCTATCTCATGCAAAAAGGTGTCCATAGCAAATTGATCAAAATTAACACTCTTCATTGACTGGAATTGGTTTCAATAACCCATATTTGTGAGATCTAAGAACTGCATCATAGGAAAAATTTAGCAGGATTTAACAAAGACCATCTCCTTAAAATGAGAGACGCGAAGGAGGGAACTGGATGGCTGGTGTCAAGGAAGGGAAGACTTGTTTTTCACCGTATATTGTTTCCCCACTTTGGATATTTCCTTATTTTGAATGTTACCTATTCAAAAACCTAAAAAACAACCAACCCATGCCTAAAATCTAAAATCCTGAGAGGCAGCCTAAAAATGTTAAACTACTGAAGTTACATATGATCATAAAGCTGGGACAAGGAAAAAAGCAAAGAGATGAAAACTTCCAACTTGGCTGGGGAGATGCCAGTCGCTCCCCACTGAACGAGAGACTGCTTTCTAAGGGAAAGGCAGCTAAGACTGGCTCCATTTCCTCCATCAACTCCTAGGTGTTGCTGATGCCAGAAATGCCACTCAGGTGTTCTGAAGCAACATAGGACAAACAGAACCCTTTGAAGCCTTTGAAGTAAAGCCCATTTACTTCAAAGGTCAATCCTGCTACTGCCCATCGGTCAACTGCATGGAGTCATCCGGGAAGGGATCTTAAATAGCTGCTTCAAAATCTCCTACCGCAGGTTCTGATGTTTGGAGCCTATTCTGTGCATCATCTCTAGATCAGGCAGCTCAGCAACTGCAGACTTTAGGAGATGACTTTCAGCCGCAAGCCCAGTAACACAAAGCAAATGGCAAAGCAATCAAACACGGCTTTTATTTTTATTTATTTATTTATTTAATTTTTTAGTTTTTGACCACGCAGGGCATCTTGTGGGATCTTAGTTCCCCGACCAGGGATGGAACCCAGGCCCTTGGCAGTGAAGGTGCGGAGTCCTAACCACTGAACCGCCAGGAAGTCCCAAACATTGCTTTTAACCATCTCTCTTCTCCCAAGATTCTCGAATACTAGTTAGGCCTGACCCTTCTCTCTCACTTCACTCAACAAATGTTTACTGAGAATGTACTATATAAGAGACACTGTGCCGTTACAAATGGGAACCAGACACAGTGTGAACCCTAGTGCTCCCTAAGTATCCTGCTTTTCATATGACTCTCTTCTCTTCTCCCTGACAATAAACCCAGTCCTTCCAGATAGCTCGTCTGGAAATAAAACAGGTAAATGTTTAAAAAGGGATTCCTAGCTTAATGGAAATAATATTGTAGAATAATCAACAACTTAAAACTACTTGGTGAATGCAGCAGAGTTCGGTTTGGGGAAGCAGGGGTATGGGTCAAGTCTAAATTCCCACCATGTGGCCCTTCCCCTAACTCCCATCATAAGCCTAGACAGCCCGGTTCTAGGGGAGTTAGAGTAGGATGTCAGAGCCGATAGAACCCCCTCCCTTGCCGGAGCCCTCCACTCCCATCCACCGATTTGATCCCCCATACTCCTGGCTTGACCACCCGGGGCCAGTTCGCAATGCCCGGGGGCAGGGGCGGCGTGGACACCCACCTGCGGACAGGCCGCTGCTCAGCACAGAGGGGGGCTGCAGGGTGTACACTGTCTTGACCACGCTGGTCATCGTAACGAGGCGGCACGGCTGGGGCCTGGAAGGTACAAGGCGAATGTTACCCAGGAGTGAGCCAGGGTGCCCGAGCAGGCGGAGGGCCCCAGAAGAGCGCGACTCGGCAGAGAGAAAATCCTCCATTCTCAGCCCATCCCATCGGCCTCCCACATCCAGCCCAGTCTCCCGCCCCAGGAGAGCCGAACCCAGACGCCTGCTGCTCCTGCCCGCAGGCCTCGTCGCTCAGCTTCTAAAGACGCTCGGCAATAACTGCCGTACCGCAGACCGGGTCTGCCGCCTGGGTTTCAAACGGAAACTTCCGGTGGCCGGGCAAGAGGGCTGCGACGCGCTCTCTGTAGGCGGCCATGTTGTACGGAATGCACTGCCGTGGGCGACGCCTTCGGGGGCTGCCATGCTGTACGGAAGATCCGAATCGAGGCACGAGCGCGAGCTTCCTCGCGGTGGATGTGGAATCCCCCAGGTCCGGGCGGGGGAGGGGAGTGATGCGCTTTGCCGGCCTAAATGGAGCTGTGAGTCATTGGCGTCTTATTCCGGCCTTGGGACGCAAACGCGGTCACGTTTAGAGTCCATGTCACAATCTTTCTCTTTATTTGGTCTGTGATTGTTAGGGATGGTGCATGATACCGGATAGCCAGGAACACAGAGAGGGATGGGCAGGAAACTACACGTTACGGGGTGGAGAGTGGCAGGCGAGGTTTGGAGAGGGTCTGTGAGCTGAAATACCTGCAACACCTACCCTCAGTCCTAACTTTAATAAGACTTATCCAGAATTTAAGCGGAGATTCAAAGCTACTCCTAGGGAACAGGGCAGGGTTCTTAAACAGTGCACTAATTCATTTCGCTCAACAACTATTTATTGAGCACCTGCTATGTGCCAGACCACAATTCTAAGTGGGCAGATGGGATGAGGGCAGCAAATATCAGCACTAACCTGGGTTCTGCCCTCTGGGAGTTTACAATCCAGGAAACAGCAAACAAATAGTCACACAAACTTGTGAACTGTATCTCAGTTAAGTGGGAAAAAACCCAAATAAATATATATTCATCAACTATAGTAAAACTATGAAGGGAAAGTACAACGTGCTATGAGAGAAAAGCAGGGAAACCTAGTTTAAATTGCAGAGTCATTTTTTTTTGGCTGCGTTGGGTCTTCGCTGCTGCACGTGGGCTTTCTCTAGTTGTAGCGAGTAGGGGCTACTCTTCCTTGAGGTGTGTGGGCTTCTCATTGCGGGGGCTTCTCTTGTTGTGGAGCACGGGCTCTAGGTGCGCGGGCTTCAGTAGTCATGGCATGCGGGCTCAGTAGTTGTAGCACACAGGCTTAGTTGCTCCGAGACATGTGGACCAGGGATCAAACCCGTGTCCCCTGCATTGGCAGGCAGATTCTTAACCACTGTGCCACCAGGGAAGTACCAGGGAAGACATCTTAAGTGATGTTTGACTAACAAAAATGAGTAGGAGTTAATCAAATGAGCAATGGGAAAGAGGAGAGCAATGCAAAATCCCAAGGTAGGAATGGGCTTTTTCTAGAGGGACTGAAAGATGGGAGGCAAATGGTACTGATAAAGCTGGAGAAATAAGAAGTCAAGTGGCAGTCTTTGTAGGCCAAAGGTAAAGAGATTTGTAGTCCAAACGTAATGAGATTTTTTTTTCTTTTTTTGAGATTTTTTTTCTTAAGGGTAATTAGAAATCATTGAAGTATTAGAGCAGGAGAGTGTCATTCTATATATATATATATATTGGCCGCACTGTGCAGCTTGTGTGATCTTAGTTCCCAACCAGGGATCGAACCTGAGGCCCTGGCAGTGGGAGCGCCAAGTCCTAACCACTGGACTGCCAGGGAATTCCCCAATTTATATTTTAAAAAGTTCACTCTGGCTACTCCAAGGAGAATGGATTGAAGGGGAGCAAGAGCAGAATTAGAGAGACAGTTGGGAAGCTACTCTCATCATTCAAGTGAGAGATGATGGGGGCTTGGCCAGGATGGTGGTGGTGGTAGTGGACATGGAAAGAGGTGGACACATTTAAGACAGCTTTTGAGGGCAGAATCTCAGGACTTAGTGTTAGACTGGATGTGGGGGAGGGAGGAGTAAGGGGGAGGGAGATCTTAAGGATGACTCCCAGGCTTGAATAATTGTGTGGATAGAGTCATTATTTTGTGTTGGGGAGAGATTTAGATTTCAGTTCTGAACACGGCAAACCTGAAATGCCTTTGAGACATTCAAGTGGAGCTGTCAAGTAGGCGGTTGGAAATACAAGCCTTGAGCCCGGAGGAGAGTCTGGGTTGGAGATATACTCTTGGGAGTCATGGGTATACATATGTATTTAAAGCTATGATATTGGATGAGATCACCAGGGAAGAAGTGTACAGAGAGCCTTAGGACCAAGGACAGGGATGGCAGTACTTAGAAGCTGCAGTGATTAGAAGGTGCCAGCCAAGACATCTGATAAAGAGGTGTCAGAGAGGTGAGAAGAAAATAAAGAGGGGCTTCCCTGGTGGCGCAGTGGTTGAGAATCTGCCTGCTAATGCAGGGGACACGGGTTTGAGCCCTGGTCTGGGAGGATCCCACATGCCCCGGAGCGACTAGGCCCGTGAGCCACAACTACTGAGCCTGCGCGTCTGGAGCCTGTGCTCCGCAACGGGAGAGGCTGCGATAGTGAGAGGTCCGCGCACCACGATGAAGAGTGGCCCTCACTCGCCACAACTAGAGAAAGCCCTCGCACAGAAACGAAGACCCAACACAGCAAAAATAAATTAATTAGTTAATAAACTCCTACCCCCAACATCTTAAAAAAATAATAAATAAATAAATAAAGGGTGATGTCTTAGAAGCTAGGAAGAAGGAAGTGGTAAACTGCTGAAAAAGGGAGTGATAAACCATTGAAAATAACTGAAAGGGCAAGCAAGATGAGAATTTAAAAGAACCCATTTAATTTAGCAACAGAGAAGTCATTGGTGTGTACAAAATCCTGCAGTGAATAAACTCATGCATATGTTTTCTCATACACACACAAAAGTCACTGTTGAGTATCAGAAGAGGAATTCTGGTGGAGAGGCTGGAGTGGAAGCCACACTGGAACAAATTGAAGAGTAAATGAGAGATGAGGAAGCAGAGATGGCGGGTGCAGAAGAGTTTGTCTGTGAATGGAGTTAGAACAATTGGGCAATAACTGAAGGTGGGTTGTGGGGGTCAAGGAAGGGTTTTCTTGAAGATGTAGATAATAGTGGGTACATGTGCCTATGGGAGTGAGCCAGCTGAGAGGAAGAATAGGATGCTTCAGAAGGGAGATGGGATGATCAAAAGAGCAAAGTCATAGAGAAAGGGGCAAGGGAGATGGTACCTAGAGTAGCATCTTCAAACTCCTTTGTGCATGTACCCTCACAAAAAAATATATTTTTAAAATGCACCCTCTTCATTTTTAGTTGATGCCTAAATTATTTCATAATGTTAAATAGTTGTAAAGGACATATTTTCTGCTTGTTGTATATTGTGTATGCTCTTTATTCATTTCTAAACTTTTTTTTTTTCTCTTGGTGTTTCGTTTTGGATAATATCTATTGCTATGTCTTCAAGTCCACTAATCCTTTTTTTTTTCCTAAAACGTCTAAACCATTGATTCCATCCAAGGATTTTTTTTTTTTAATCAGACATTTTAGTTTTCATCTCTACAAGTTCAATTTGGGTATTTAAAATAAAATATATATATATATTTTTTCTAAGTCTCTACTTAGCTATGTGAACATATGGAATAGCTATAATAATGTTTGGATGTTCTTGGCTTTGCTCTCTCAAGGACTTCCTCAAGCAGAGCATTCTCAAGTAGTCCTTTTATTTGTTTTTCAGAAAATACTGCAGAGGGAGATGCCAGAGTAGGAGTCAGAATGAAGGAAGGGTCAACTGGGAAAGCGGAGGTTGGGGAGGCGAACTTGCCGACCTAAGGCTCCTTCTTAGGCTGATGAATATGAGGAGAGGAAAATTATGAAGAAGGAAGCTCTTGAAACTGATTCCCTTAAAACTATCTGTGCCCACCTACCTTCTAGAAAGTGTTCATGTCTCTGTGGAATGCAAGCCCTAGTTGAAGGCCTCTCATGCAAAGTGTGTGAAGCCATTGCTGGGGCCATTACTGCTTCTTTCTTTGTAACAGAAGAGATGGGTTGAGAAGCCAGTAGGAGCACGGTAGGTGAGTTGGGGACTTGGTGCCTTGAAGGTGAGCACATTTCACTCTGATGCCTCTAGGTTTCTTCATGAATAATGAGTTTTTTGTCTACTGAAAGTCGGGGTGCAGGGAGGTGAAGGGCATCTGATGTCTGAAGCAGGTAGAGAAAGTATGAAATGATCATTGCAAAGAATGGAAACTAGTAACTGGAATGGAAGCTAGCTAGGCAGGGCGGAGACTGCAGGTGAGGTTGGAGGTCATGGATTCAAATCTACGTCAGTCTGCCCAGCTGAGTGATATTCGTTAGCAATCCTGAAGCTCTTGTTTGATGTTTGTGAACTTGGTAAAATGTTGATCTTTTCCCTATGTTAAGGTCTAACATGAATAACCACACAGAGGCCTCATGATAACAAGTTTATCAAGGTCCTTCCAGGGCTCTTCAGTGCAAGGTGGCTTGGGACAGCCAGCCATTTACACAGCACACAGTGGCTTTCTTTTGTTTCTCATCTTCCCAGTGAATTGAGTTACAGCTTCTTCTCTTAAGCATAAACACCACTACACCTTGAGTTACTGCTGTCCCTGTGAACAAGGGTGAGGTTAGAAACTGTAAGGAATGTCTGTTTTTCCCACCCCCAAGCAAATCTTTTTTTTTTTTTTTTTTTTTCCAAGCAAATCTTGATGCATGGCATGGGTGCCAGAGAGCTTGTCATTGCCCACGTGTATTATCAAAGGCCAAGATAAGGCCACCATGGAAGAAAAGATCAGAAACTCTCCAATATGTCCTCTTTCCTGGTACCCCTCCCCCACCTCCCTGTCTTGTCATGCGCTGGGAGAAGAAGGAGTTAGTTGGAGGGGCTGAGGGCATTTGGCTTATAAATCTCCTGTGAGATGTCTCTTTCAGAATCAGGCTCAAGCTGAGATATTGCCTAAATATCATGGTATGGGATGTGCCCGTAAAATCTAAGATTCTGCCGGTCAATTCAATCTCTAACATTGTCACCAAAGCCATGGAAAGATGGGTTTCCCCATAGTGACAAACTATTCCAAGTTACATTCTTAAAACATACGGTACATATACTCATGCTCTGGGTGTGA